AAAAAAAAAATTTTGAATTTACTTACTTGTAGCCGGAGTTAGAGGCGGTCGGATACTTATGACCGCTACTGTAAAAGGTCTAACGATGCGGTCTGAAGCATTTTCAGAAAGGTGCACGAGCTGCGTACGATATTCAACACGTGGAATTATGACTACATTGTACGTATAAGTGAGCTGTTTATCCGTTAGCTTTTTATTAGCTAGTATTGCTATAGTGGATTTCACATCTTGAACGGCCTGATTGACGGTAAACATCTTATTACATTGCAGTGAAATCCAAACGCTGAGGTATTGCACTGAGTTTTTTGGCTTAACTGAAGTTATTACATGATCGTAACTATGCATGTTGGTGATAATTGTCTGAGTGTCTGACAAGTTTGTCAAAAAGTCCGACTTAGCCTAGTTAACTTGTATGCTGTTTAGTTCATAAAAAGTGTTTGCTATGTCGATTATGTTATTTAAGTCATTCTTTGATCGAGCAATCCAAAGTGTGTCGTCCATATATGTCAAGACTGATGTTTTACATTAGAGGTTGTTATAAGATTCAGTTTGTACATCTGGTTTCCACTTGACTGACATATTATATCCTAAGTCCGAGGATTGTATCTTGCATAAGAGTGGATCGTAATAGATACACCATAAGAGCGGAGAAATGATTTCACCTTGGTCAATACCCGAGAAAACTTTATACATATCAGTATTACCGAAGGCTGTGAAAACTTGATTTTCCTGAGAGACGAACATGTTGAGAATGAAGTATATGAATTCTTTGGGTAGTTTGAGTCTTTCTAAGGCTCTGACTAACATAAAAATGTTAACCTGATCGTAGGCTTTAGACATATATTGCAATAAAATCCACAGCTCCTTTTTGTTAGTAAGTGCGTCATATTTGATGTTATCGAAAATATGTAACAGTTCGAAAGTTGACCGAAATGGTAGACTTGCGAAGTTGTGTCCTTTTAGTATACTGTGTTGGACGAATATTGTTGAAAGGTGTCTGTTGATTAGTTTGATTAAAGCTTTCCTTAGGCATTCCAGGAGCGTGATAAGCCGAGTGTTATTCAGGTCATATTCCCATGGTTTAGGTTTGAGGATTGGATAAATATATGCTAAGTTCTACCTATTTAGTAGCGATGAGATTTTTAAGCAACTACAAATGATGTGCCAGAAAAGTTTTTTGGCGAGCGGACCGAGGTGTTTTAACATTTCATTGTGAATCTTTGAGGGACCTGATGCTTTGCTATCAGCTAAGGATTTTATAACATTGTACTATTCATCTGCCGTAGGGGGTGACATTAAAGACCTATATATATTGGGGTTGATGTTGGAGATCAGATTGTAGATAGAGCTCCATTCCTCCAGAATTACTTTGTTTTCATGGGTGGTGCCAGCTGCCTTCTGGAAATGTTCGTTTACGTTAAGTTTGATAGCACTTTCATTCGTAAGTAAATCCTTGGAATTCCTTGATAAGCAGCGGTCAAGTACTATGGTTCTTTTCGAACGATTTAAGGTGGAGTCTAACATTT